AAAAAAAAAAAAACTATTTTTTTATTTATTTGCATCTACTGTTCTTATTTATTCAGCCTCTTTTTTTTAACAGCAACAAATTAACGATAGTCAATTAGTCAATTCGGCTTACATGAAGTCTATAAATGTAATTGAAAAAAAATCTGCGAAAAGCATGTAATAACATTTCCTGTCAACAACCATTAGTTTTCCAAAGGTCTAATTCGTTTTTGACTTTTATGTAAAGTATATTTCGACTACAAAAAAAAAAGTGCTAATTAGATCATCGCTGTCTGTTTATCGTTCCAAAAGTTCAAAAACAAAAAATTATCGATGACTGTTTAGGACATTGACACTGTTTGGCAAATTTCATGTAATTCTTTGATTAAAGTTCTCCTTCAAACAAAAAATTCCGGAAACTACAAAAGCAACTTGTTCACAAGATTTGTTGAAAAAAGAATAAGCGTTTACAGCATTAATGCTTAGTATACTATCAATAATTTGCTTATGTTTTAAAAATCATAGAACACTCTGAAAGAAATAATTTTCCAAATAAAGATCACCAAATTTTTTCTTCTCTTAATTTGGCTTTAAAAATTTATCAATTTTTTCTTGTTGTTTCTGCAACAAGGAGATGTTTAAGAACCTTGATTAAAACCAAAAAAATGAATAAACAACACTGAACAAACAAACAGAAAAAAAGCATTTTGAATAATCATTTGAAATGATAAAAATTCTTCTTTTTTTGATACATAGTAAACCTTGTATGTTTTCTGAATTTTGTAGTTTTGTAACAGCTGTTTGGTCTAACGTTTAGGTGGTTTAGTAGAAAAATTTTTTGGTATAAGTTTTCAACTAATTCATACTGTTATTGTTATTTGTAATTAAAATTGTACCATGAAAAAAGAAGAACGTTGACGATGAACAATAGAAAAGACAGTAAAAAATTTTCCACCTTTTTTCCTTACAGTTTATGAGAACATTGGTAAATAACTTGTAAGTCAGTTTTCAAATTATTATAGATTTCAAAGCGTAGTTTGGTTAGCAGTAGCTAAAGAAACTGATAAAATAAAAATAATACCAATTATAATAAAAAAAAATAGGAAATACAATGCTTTATAAAGCTAAAAAAGATTGATAAAACTGTTATTTCAATCCAGCGTTATTTGTTAAGCTAAAGAAACTGAAAAAAAGAGATTTTAGAAAATTGAAATAGTATCTGCCAATAATTGGGTCGATAGACGTTGATGAAGAAAATTGACAAACAACTAGAAGCCTATATGAACACTTCCTGATACTCATAACGGCAGTTTCTGTTCGGTGTAAAGCCAAATTTACTGGCTATTTATATATATATAGACCAATGTTGTCTTGTTTGATAAGTACAGCTGCTACACATTTTTCAATTTTTATTCGACGAACAACCAGAAACTAAATAGAAATTGTTGTTTTCTGATTCAGCAC